AACATAAAAATAAGAATTCAATAATACAATGTCTTCAAAATAAAGGAATTATTATTTTTAACCTAGAATTTTATACCTAGCCAAACTAACAAGTGTGATGATAGAGTAATAGCATTTTCAGACACATAAGGTCTCAAAAAATACTCCCCCACCTTTCCAAAGGAAGCTACTAGAAGATATATTCCCCTAAAACAGGACATAAACTAAGGGGGACAAAAAATAGAAGATATGAGATTTAGGAACCAGGGTATCCAACATGAAGAAAGATGCAGGGAACACCCAGGATGATAATTAAGGGAGATTCCATGATGAGAGTTATCCTCAACAAACTGAGGGCAACTAGTCCTAAATGGAACAGGTCAGAGAGATCTAGAAGATGATTCTTTAAGAAGATGAAACTGATAGAACATTCAATACATGGAATGTTCTATCTAAATGCATGGAGAGATGCTATTATTAACAGACGGGCTGGGGTTAAACCATTGACCAGTATTTTAAAAACTAAGTAAACAAACAAGCAAAAAGATAATGATCAATTCCAGCCAAAAGAAAATTGTGTAAAAAGGGTAAAATAATAACAACATTCTAAATACCTCATTGTGAATGTTTACATAGTTATAATAATGTAACCACCAAATATTTATCCAAACTTTGATATAACTCTATGGAGAAGAGGGAGGATTAGGAAGAGTGTGTGAGTGTGTATATGTTGGGAGTCAGGGGTGGGTGGTGAAAGGAAGCTAAATTTTCATCTTCTGCAGGGAGAAGTCAATAGACAGTGCCTAAAACTGAAAAACCAAGAAGCACCAATACGAGTTGGTATTTAGAGATCTGGAGTTGAATCCTAAATGATAAGACAAGAGAGTTAAAAGCACTTGGCTTTGGGGAGAAGAAAAAGTGATAGGGAAAAGGGAGGTGGGTACTTAGAGCTTTGGGAATAAACCCTGTGAAACAGTCAACTTTCAGCCACGTGTGTGTATCATTTGGATAATAACAAAGAAGAAAAAGGAGGAAAGGAAGGAGGAAAGAAAAGAGAGAGGGAAGGACAGAGAGAGGAGGGGGAAAAGGGAGGAAAGAAAAAATTTAAAGACACAATACAGATAAAAATGAACGAGAGCCTAACAGATCAAATGTGGTTTTCATTGAAAATGAAAACCAAAGTCCAAACATTTTTGGAAAAGTATTAGCTTTCAATAAGTACAGACTAGATCTTTGTGTCTCCTAGCTCTCAGTTTTATATCTCATTGCCAAATGGCAACATATAAAAAAGTATTCATTCTCCTTCCCCCCAAATCCCTTTCTTCCATTATTTGTAAGTGATGACACTTCCATACCACTGCTTTGTTCGCACTCCCCCAACATCCTATGGGTTCTCTCCATTCTCTCCACTTTATTATCTAGGGCACCATCACCTTTCCAAACTGGTCTGCCTGCTTCCTAACCATCCTCTAACATGCAGGCAGAGAAGGGTTTCTAAAACTCAAAGCAAATCACACCGCTCTCTTGTTAAAAACACTTCTGTGGTTCCCACTGCCTTGAGGATATGGTTTAAACTCCTTAACCTGGCCTATGGGATTTCAAGCTCTGACCTCTAACTACCCTGAAGCTTCATTTTTTACCATGCCCAGGAATGCCTCTCCCCTCCCACCCCATCTCTAAGTTCCAGCCTGCCACACTGAAGTCGTTTGTGGGTCCTCAAACCCAGGATGCTCTCACATCTGAGCCTCTGCATCACTGTGCCCTTTATCCTAAAAGTTCTTCTATGAAAATTATACGCAGAAGTATGTGTAAGTGTCTGTGCCTATGTATGCATACACAAATGAACACACACAAAACCTGCAGATGATTTTGACATTATTTATAAGGCCCCCCGAGCACTAATTTTGGACCCCACTTTAAGAACTCATTCCTTAAGCTATAAGCAAGCTTACAGCCACTATAAAAAAGTTCTGAAGTACATTATTCAGAATATTTTCATATAAAGCGTACATGAATTACACATATCAATATTAGCTATTTTTCATGTCACTGGAATGTTCTCCATTGCCCTTCCTCCCAGAGAAAGTGGGTTAAATGATTATCCTAAAGTTAGTTTCCATGAGAAGGTGTCACCCTAAGTGAAAAACATCCCTTTGCTGTTCTGAGAACAGCAAGTTCCTAGAATGTGAATACTTGTATCTCATAAGAATGCCTGGGCATGCTGTTACAAAAACAACAACAACAAAAAAAACTTTATAAAAAAGTCAATATTAGATGAACAGCTGTGTAGAAAGGGGAATGTAAAAATAAAAACTGCATGTTGCAGCATCAAAATAGTAACCATATACAGTATATGACTGTTCTTAATCAGATGAAGATTGAAGCTATTACATTTCAAATCAAATGTTATAAATTAGTTCAAGAATGCAGCTGAGCTCTCATTTAATTAGAAATGTCCATGTTTAAATCATGAGGTACAGTAGCTGCCAATGAAGCAAAAGGGCAAGGGAAGGGAGAAATACTGTGTCCAGACCCTCCGATTATCAACTGTCTCCGACGCACGACGAACATCTGGGGGGGACTGGTCCTGATGTAATGAAGAACTTCGTATACTAGCTAATTTGAGATTTAATGTAATTGAACATAATTGTTTTGAAGACAATTAAAATCATTATTCTGGTCTGGACAATTCTGAACTCTTCATTTTTGTGTGCAACGTATTTTCCCCCATGCTGAATTTTAACCCTTTCCTGGATAAAAAGTACAGCAAATTTCGGGTCAGGGTTTCCCGAAATAATCTTTAGATTGTCTGGTCGCATTAAAATGCAGCACAAGCAGGGAGGTGCTCCTCTGGAAACAAGTCTCTTTTCCTATTGCTAGTATTTACTGTAGCCCAGCTCAGCCAGAGTCCCAGATCTACAGCCCAAATGTCAGACAATTCAGCATTAAATAAAAATGAGGCAACATCATACAGGGATTTCTGGGGTCATACAGAGAAGAATGCAATTATCCTAAGGCGGACTTTCCCCCAAAGGTTATGAGCCTCTGCATCTCATAATTAACCACGGTGCAGCTAGACAGTCCAGGCAAAAGGTCTTTCTTTTCTCCCAATTTGCCTAATTCAAAAACACCTCAAGTGACATAGCTCAAATTTTCCAAATTAAACGCACCCCTGGGGCTGAAATCAAGCATGTGACAGTTCAGTTCCAAAGCAAATCTTAAAGAGAGTTGTGCATAAGGAAAGAAAGAAAAAAATCAGAGGAAAAAGGGGTAGGAGTTAACATTTAAGTGGTTTTTCAACCTCATCATTACCCCTGCTCAAGAAAATAGGACACAGATGGGCAAAACACACCATTGTTCTGCCATGAAGAGTCTACGGAACTCATTAGAAACTACTGTTGCTTCTCGTGATCTATGGTGAATCTGTAAGGGACGAAATGGTTGATGTGCCCCATCCCAGTCGGGTGGAGAGTGGAAAGAGAAGTCACAGAGACACGGTGTGCTTCGCAGCCCATGAGAGCCTGTTGTTGCTGGAATTCTCCAAGATCAAGTCTTCTCAGGGAGTTGAGGAATGCTTATCTTATCACAAACTGTTCTGATTTGTGAAAAATGGTTTCCAATCAGGAGTGACACACTGCCCTAAACTTTCTCCTACTTCTGGCCACAGCTTCACACTTGTCCCCTGGGACACCAGAGACAGGGTCAATGGGAGAGAGGTTCACTGCTCCCAGGCAAGAGTGGCTCCCCTCTCAAATCTCCACAGTGATAGAATTAAAGGCCTCCAAGCTGGCAGCCAGAAGAGAATTGCCTTAAAATGTCAAACTGCAAATAGCAATCACTGAACTTTCACTTGCATCTAAAGAAGCAGCTATAATTTTACTGTCCCACTAGCTGTTTTCTTTTGCAATCTGCATGGGAGATTATTTTTATCCAAATAAAGAAAAATAAAAGATCCAACCATTTCCCTTCACCTCACCTCCCTACTGTCATAAAGTTTCACATTTCTGCCAGCTCTTTATTCCCGAAAGTGGAGAATTACACAATGCTCATCAGTCTTAAACAACTTTGTTGTTTTATTCTTCAGTTGGTTACTTTAAATTTTTTCAATTCTATCACATTAATCTGATAAAATTCTGTTATTTTCAGAATGCTTTATAAATAATTACATTAAAAATACATATACATTTTTCTGAAGCATAATTATTTGATTTTGCTCTTATTCAGTAAGTAGCTTTTTACACTGAATCATTTTGTCTAGGTACATGTTATAGACACCTATGCTACTACTACTCTGAGTTTTCAGTAATGCAACATGACCATTTTAGCAACAGAGATAAAAAACAAAGAAGCAAATTTTATATCCTACGATTAACAGTCAAGATAATCTGTCCTTTGTTTGCTGGAAGTTATCAGTCAGCTCTTTGCTCTCTAAATAAATGGGCCTTTTGAAAGAAGACACTCTGCTAAGTTGAAATCAGGTTTATCTGAAAATATTTTGAACCCTTCACTAAACAAGATTAAGATATTATAGGCTTTTCTTTAAACAATTATGATCCTTCCAATCCCAGTTGTCCTGTTAAATCTGACAACATCCCTGTGAACCATGGAGTTCATTTCATTTTAACCCATGAACTAACTTGAGATTTCAGGGTCCCATCCCAAAACACAACTGCTTATAGTGTATTTCATTCCATGCCAAGTTATCAGTAAAATCAAGGTTGATTTCAACACTATTACTTCACATATTAAAACTAGAAAAGGTTTCCTTAACCACATAAGATATGGGATCATCATCTTCAGTAAGAGTCTTATTAAATCTTGGACCCCAGGGTTCATTTTAATAAAGAGGAAATGGGAAATGTTTGGGATATACATGTTCAGAAGACTAATGCAATGAAGTTTTGGGGCACGCTGTCTTGAGTATTCACATTTATACAGGAAATCAATGATTAAAGAGCATTCAGGTCTACCTGAAGCTTATCCTTCATCAAAAGACATACATAAAGAAACTGAAATCTTACCTAACTCATTAATAGACGCTGTTACTGTAATGACTGATCTGATGTAGTCTTGATCAGAAAATGAAATATACTGAACATTGATACTTCAGGATATTTCTGCCCTGCAAAGAAAACAACACATACATGCAAGAATTTTTTTCTGTGGAATCTTAATAATTTATTTCTTCTGATAAAATTAAATTGAGCTTGAGAAAAATCCTGGGATTTGACCTCTAAAGTGACATTGACTAATCATGAAATTCACAGGTAGTAATGTCTACTTCTTACAGGATTACCATATAACCAGATTACAGTTATAATGAGATCTGATATCTAGTTATAACAGTTCAGAGGCTCAGTTCAGAGGCTAGTCTTTGGTGTCTATGACAGATCATCTCTTGGACTTGCCACTAGGCTTGCCAAAATTATCTTAACTTAGTCCAAGATGGTAGCCTCCTGTTTCAATCGCCAAATCACACCACTCTAAATTCTGCTCCTTCTCAATCTCATCCTCTAGGCTTTGTCAATTTTTCCTTCCAAAGGAAAGGAAATTTCCAAATCAAAACTTCACAAATCAAACTGCCTGGATCAAAATCTGACATCTGGAAAAGCTAAGACAGGCCAATTAGTGCCTAAAGCACAGGTTCCTGGGATGCATGCACCTGTCCATTAGAAACCGTTCTGTCCCCACCATCTCCTCGTCAGAGGCCACCAACGTCCTTCAGATGTTAACGACTTCCAGCTTTTGGTGGCTTGTGACTCACTTGAATGTGTAACCTGGAGGAGAAAGCTGCCATACACTTGTATGGCAGCCGCACATTACCCCAACGTTATTTTTAAAGTTTACAAGCCTGGTTCAGCCTCCTTAAAAGTCCCCCTTAAGCCTACAAAAGCAAATTCAAAGTGAAGAACAAAAGTTTTCAGGCAGTAATTAAACCGTTAGCTATGCTATTATACCTTTGTCGCCCTGTCCCCTGGCAGCCTAACAATTAATCTTTTCAGAAGAGAGGAAAAATAAGTTACACGCAGGAACTACAGAGCTTACAGCAGCCCTACGCTATTAATTTTAATAACATGAAAAGATAAACATATGTCACTCACTCATAGCCAAATGAGCATCTACAGAGCCCTGCCCTGGTGTACATCTAAAATTTATAACTCAGGTTCCTTTGCCCAAGACATTTTAGGCTATTTAAATATTTTCACATTGCTTAATCAGAAAAAAATATGGATGATATAATTTTATTCCACTCATTTAAAAATAAAGGCATTTAAAATATTTGTAAAATGACAGGTCATTTTCTTAGCTAGTACCACCTTCCCTCATTTTTTAAAACCATAAAAGATGAAGCAAGAACAAGATTATACAACCTCTTATTTTAAGTATTTTTTCAACATACTCTAGCTCCCGGAAGAAAAGAGATGATTTTATTTTTTCATCCCAAATCTTCTTCTGAAAAGCTTTTATTCTCAGTTTCATATGATACAATTGAATCAAATGCTAAAAGAATGAAACACTCTCTCCTGCAATTTCTTAAGCATGCATATAGGAAAAAAAATTACTGCTGGCAGGAGGAACTGTCAGTATGAATCTCGGCAGAAGTAAATTGTTTGGTATTTGTAATGGAGTATAATAGCTATAATTCCACTTGAGCTGCTGCCACTAATAAGCTGATAAAAACTCCGAGTTGAGACCCAGGTGTCCATCAGTATATGCCTTCCACAAATGTCCTTGTACATTCACTTAATCACAGAGACGGGTAACCCAGTCCCATTAGAAGTACTGTGTCTCACAATGAGGGGCCCAAGCTGGCTCTTCCCACAAAGAGAATGCAAAAGCACAGATGTATCCTGCCTCTAGAGGAGTTTTCTTATCAGCAATTTTAAGGAATTTTCTTAGACGCTTCCAGCTCCTGCAAAGTTGTAAGACAGTAACTTAAATGTGCTCACCATTAGAAACAGGCCAGGGGAAAACACTTCTTTCTCATGAAAAGTAGTCCCCAAATCAAAAATGACTCAGAAATTAACACAGAATGTCTTGAATGCTTCTGGATTGTGACCCGAATGTTCACCTGTTGCCAAAAAGTTGATTTTAATTAACAAAGCATTCTATTCAAATGATTAGGAGTCTGAATACACTGTTTTGTGTGTGTGTGAAAGCAAAAACAACTAGAACCCAGAACCGTGTGTCATCACATGAACATTTTAACGAGGGTAAAACAAAGAATAATATCTCTCATTGGAAATACTGGCCCAGGGAGTAAAGAGGCTTGAGGTCCAGTCTTCGGAACTGCTGAGAGATCTTACACCCATCATTTAAATGCAATTGCCTACTAGTTTTTATATGGAGAAAATGGAGGAGAAATAATAATGTTGTAATGAAAGCATGGGTTTTGCTGGCAGGAGAGCTCTGAAAAGTAGCTGGTATTTGGCCAGTTTATTTTTTATACAACCTGTTGAATAAAAAGCATAATGTACAATTATGCTCATTCTATTAGTGATCAAATAAGTGGCCCATGAGGGAAACATTAAACCTTTATGTAAATATATCCTCCTCAGCAGCCTGAACTCCTGAACAATGCTCATCTCAGACACTCACTCTCCAGTGTGAATAAGTGCACCGCTGAGCTTACGTGGGCTTTTGGAAGAGCACATGTGCCCATGAGTAACTGATCTATCTCAGTATCTCAGAGTCCTGCGTTAGCTCTAACAGCCCGAGAACAAGGAGAAAAGTCTAAGAAGAAAGAATGTTCTATAGCACTGTCTGCAGAATACAAAAACTACTGTACTCATACATATTCACATCAATTGTCTGTTTTCCTACCATTTCTTTCAAGAAGAGCTGCTTTTGCTATGTTCTCAACAATGTATTTTCTTCTGGCTTCTGAAATACTTAGTAAACAAGCAGCCAAATGGAACCCGAGTCTGGAAGAAGCCATGGTGATTTTTCTAGAATAGGAGAAAAATTATTGTTCATTTTGGTCTCTATGGCTCATTCGTATTTTCATGTTCATTAACGATAAAAAAATTATACTTTTCTGGAAACCAGGCAGTCATAATATGAACACTTCACTATTTTATTCCTGGAGAACACCTGAAGAGAGAAACCTTCAGATTGAGTCAACCAGAAAACCATGTGTATGTGGTCATGCACAGATAAGCCTACGTAGTATTGACACTAGGAAATATAGGGCAAGTTACTCAACCTGAATTGTCATGTAAATGAAAATATTTGTTAAAGTATTCTATTCTCTCTTAAACACCATCTTCCTTAGATTATCCCCGTTTTCAAGGTCTATGATACTTAACAAATAAGCTTGATCCTCTTGTTAAATGAGACTTACTAGGGAAATGTAGAAAACAGAAGTGAAGAAGATTCTTGGAAAAACTACCTTTCTGGCAAAAAGAAAAGTTATCTCTATGGTCCATGCTACAGCCAATATATGAACAATAAAAGGGACTCATTTGGGTGCTGTATGTGACAACTATTTGACTCTATTCCTCTCGTACTTTAATCCCCACAGTTCCTTTATCAGTTTAAAATCTTTTCAAAGGACTCTGTTCCTGGAACTGAAATCTGACAATAATGCCCAAAATGTGACTGATGCCCTTTTGTTGAAAGTGGATTAATTATAAAACAATTCCCCTTTTCAAGATCGGGCCATATTCTGGTCTCTTTTAAATATTAAAAAACTAATTATGGCCCTCATGAATTCATTCAACAAGTTATTCCATTAAGAGTTATTTTGTTTTAGGCAATGCGGGGAATGCCGCAGTGAATGGTGTCCAAGGCCGAGACAGACGTGTTTCTGAGTTTAAGCTGAACTGTGCTCTCACACGAGTCACAGTACTGTCTATGCATAAACCCTCTGGCTTCTGTTCACCAAGATTGTCCATTGGCCCGATCGTCCTAACCTAGAGGGAATCCAGGGCTACATGACTAGTCTAGGTTTGCAAGCAACTTTTCATACTGTGGCCATCACCTCCTGCCTGAAAAGTCATAAAAATATGGTCATTAGGTTTTTGTAGGCATTAATAATATCGTTGTAATAAGGCAACTCAGACCTCTCTCATTTCTGTGTAAACAAAAAATTGCTTTACACAAGGGGTGTGGGCGTCTTCTGGCTTTCATTTGTTTTCAGTGTGTTTATGTAGCTTAATTGTCTCATCAGGCACTTTCCCAACATAATTATGCTTTTTAACAAATGGTGTTTATGGCAACCCCTAACAGTGCAAAAGAAAGGATTAGTTTCATCCTCTCATTCCACATTTTGATTCCCTGTGGACAGTTAAATCACACAAAGATGGTGTTAGAAAAATCTACCTTCACAGCAAAAGCTGGAATTAGCGGCCACCAGGCTTTTGGAGAGCAGTCAGGCTCGTGAGCACAAGGGGTGTCTCCCTGCCTCTTGCACTCACAAAGTAACCCAGAGCAACCCCGCCAGCGTTCAGTGGTTCGGGAGAACGCGCTCCCCGTCCGCCCGTCCCTCCAATCACAGTTCGATGACTTCCGGCCACGAACCAAAAAGCTGCCGCCCCTGGGGAGGAACGCCCGGGGCCCGCGCGGACGGGAGCCGCCCGCGGCAGTTCCGCCAGATCACCTGCCGCCTGCGCACGCACCACCTTTCGCGCTTTTGGGGCGGCAGAAAGGCTCACCGAGGAGGCGGGGGCGCGTGCTGCGGTTGCACCCGCCGCTGGGACTCCCTGCGCGGCCCCGCAGCGGGGCCGGTGCGCTGTGGCCACGTGGGCCGAAGGCTAACCCGGGAGGGGGGAGGGGGGCGGCGCGAGCCTCGGGGCAGTCCCCCGCCGCCCCGCGTCGCCCGCCGGGAGCAGCGTCTCCGGGGCCCGGGAGCGAGGCACGGCCGGCGGCGGGGCTGCCCGGGAGCGGCTCTACCGCCAGCGCCGGCGCACGCGCCCGCAGCTCCGCACGGGGGAGGGAACCGACCTGCGCGCGCGGAGGGGCGGCGGGGTGGGCCGGCGCGGAGCAGGGGTCGCCGCGCGTGAGCGGCGCGCAGCTTCCGCCTCCGGCCCCGCCCCCCGGCCGCCCCGCTCGCGCGCCAGCCCGCCGCCGCGTAGCGCGGAGCACGCTCCCCGGGTCGCCGCCTGACCTCCGGCCCGCGCCTCCTGCGCCGGCCCCCGCCCCCGCCGGCTTCCCGCCGCGCCCCCGCGCCCCCGGTGCAGCCCTCCGCAGGCCTGCGGCCGGGAGCTTAACGTTCCGTCGCCCCTCTCCTTTAGCTTGGGATTCTCCACCCTCGTCTCTTGTTAATGAATGACTTTGTAAAAGGGCAGTAGAATCTAACGATGAGGTCATTATCCGTTAGTCACACACCCAGCAGGGGGCTCTTCGGAGCGCGCGAGGAGGGCACCGCTTCAGTGAAGTCTCCCCTGAGAAACACCGCCAGCGCTTGTGAGCAGGGGCGGGACCCGTCCCCGGACAACAGCAGTCGTGGCACTTGCCCGTTGACTCAAAGTTACAAGCAATTTGAACCAGGCATTAAGCATTTCCCTTTTTTTCTAGGCCAGTGAACCTTGAGAACACATTTCTCCTACAAAAACCTGTTTTTTTTTTTAAATATATATAGCAAGGATTAAATGTCACTGTTTTGATCCAATTTCGTTCCTGAAGTGAAATAATCACTAAATAACTACTTTGACAGAATAAATTAATTTTTAAATCTATTTTTTTATTTTCTAATTATACTTTTTAAACACAGATTTGAGGAAATTAACATTTATGTGGACATTTGGTTTCTAGCCTAATGTGGCATAAAAATAAGTAACATAATGAGTGTTAAAAAAAATCAGGTTCATGATGCTTCTCACATCATCATCATTGTACTGAGATGTCACAACAGTATTATGTGCGATTGTGTCAGATCCTGCCTTCTCCAGCTCGGAGTGTTGGCAGGTAGGAGGGTTGTTGGCAAGAGGAGGGGTGTTAACCTCAGGATCCTGGATTCGTTCCAAGGCTGGTAATTACATTCTGCCAGCCAAAATTCATCCCATAATTTTAATTGGATAAATCCTTTCTGGCCTAAGCTACTGCTATGCCTGTCAAACTGTTGCCACATTTCACCCCAGAGGTGTCTGTGTTTTAGTTGCAAGAATCAGTCCCTTTGAGGTTGGCTTATCAATTTAAATCCTCAAAGTGCTTTGGGATCCTGTGGAATTAAATATATATTTAGGTATTTTTTTTCCTCTACTGAATCTGTAATAGAAATGCGTAAAATAGACGTATATCCATGTTAATGCCTAAAAACCAATATCCAGCAGATCTATTTAATGTCAGCGATAATTTCAAAATAATTTAACTAGACTGCTGCCCCTAACTTTCTCTTCTCTTCTTTTGAGAGCTTTTACTGACTTTTTGAGAGAACTTTTACTTTTAGTTTCCAGTTTACAAAAAGTACTGCAGTGTCCAACATTTCCTTCTAAGGAGGACAATGGAACTGAATGAGGGCCCTGTATCTCACCTTTCCAAACAATCCTATGATGGGACAGACTACTGGCTACAAATGGAAGACACAGTAACATTACATCTAGTCTTATCTGTCCCTCCAGAGAAAACAGTGTGACACCTAGGGGCCCATGGTTCTAGCTGTAAAAACTGCTAGAACTAAAACTTCTTTCCCACATCTCCTAATCCTCTCTGTGAGAATTTCCTTCCCTTTACAGGGATGCTGGGGTGTTAAGTAAGATAACACTTTGGAAAGCAACAACTCCCAGCAGTTACTCAGTAAACCTTAATCCCTTTCTCCACTCTCCTGAGGTCAGACAGAAATGGAGAGACGGCAGGGTCCCAATGTTCTTTGTGGAGAAGGGCAGCATCTACCCCTGCCTCAGGACTGTACGCACGTCTTTTTGGAAAAGACAAGGAGACAGATACCAGCAAATTTGATGAAAGTTCAGCAGTAAGACTAAAAGTCTTATTTTGCTCTTTTCAGGAATTAAAACATGGGATGCCCGGATGGCTGCATTGGTTAAGCCTCTACCTTCAGCCTAGGGCATGATCCCAGGGTCCTGGAATCGAGTTCCACATCGGGGTCCCCTTGCTTGTCCTCTGTATCTCTTTCTGACAAATAAATAAAATCTTAAAAAAATAAATTGAAAAGTACCTTTAGATTTTAGCTTTACTTGAGCTCAGCCACATAAAATCCTGCCTTTTTTGTTATTTAAAAGAGTTCTGCATCACTTTTATAATGTATGAGCATCAAACCTCTCATTACTTAACTTAGCGTGCTTTGGAGGAGTTTTTCATACATTGTGGGTGAATGAGTTATCCTGACTATTCCTTTCTCCTGCTAAGTCCATGTTCGGGGCATCACTTCCTTTGATCATTACGGTTCCTGTCCAAACACAAATAAGCACCAGAAGAAAGCGTAGCTACTAGTCCTAGTGTCAATTCTATCTGTGATAACCTGTTTCCTAACACTCCCATTAGTCCCTTGTGAGACAATGATAGTTTTCTCTATCCTTCATCTTCATTTTTGCCAGCAAGGAGAGCAGAGGTCTTATAGGAGCTTCCCTTGGCCCATCAGAGCTGAGGTGGGTCAAAGGGAGAGGCTGTGCTCTAGTCTGGCTCCACAGAGCTCCTGGAACATAGCACTCAGGCGCTGCCCAAGCAGGGCTGGGATCAGGGTGAGGGAGTGAGGCTTTCACGTCACATGCAAACTTTAAGCGGGTGCCAAAAAACTTGGTAATGCAGTGTCCTAAGAAGTTAAAATTAATGCAAAATAAGAAATCCGTGGTAAGCAAAATAACAACATTTTAAGTAAATCAGAACCCTACCCTGTACTTGTCCACCTTGGTCACCCTCAGCTCACCCCATCCCTGCCCTGTGGTTGTGTTCCTCTTTGTACCAGTCTGTTCCTGATTGAAGGGTTAAGAGGAAACTGTACCACTCTGCCCTGACTGCATCCTCTCCTGGGCCCCCAAAATGGGCAGCAAAACCAGAAATGTCAAGGGTAGAAATTTCCAAGCTAGTGGTTACATACAATTTATAGTCTGTTGAAGAGTTTTCTAGACCTCCATATATAGGAGACTTGGCCAAGTTACCTCAAGAGAAGGCAAATCCTTATTAGAACAAGCAAAAGAATCAACTCTATTAACTAATATGTTTCTTTACCGGTTTATCTGACACTTTTCAAAATATGGTGATTAGAAAGTTTCCTTTTGCTCTTGGGAATTTTGAAATAACGTTTTAAAGACCATTTTAAATTAATGCTATGAGACTGTTTTCTAACTTCATATCCCAGCACTTACCTCTGTTCAGGGAAATGTGAGAATTTCCCTTAGAAAGACAGAAATCTAATTCCCTTTTTAAAAAAAGATTTTTTGGGGGCACCTGGGTGGCTCAGTGGGTTAAAGCTTCTGCCTTCAGCTCGGGTGATCCTGGGGTCCTGGGATCGAGCCCCACATTGGGCTCTCTGTGAGCAGAGAGCCTGTTTCCCTTCCTCTCTCTCTGCCTGCCTCTCTGCTTAATTGTGATCTTTGTCTGTCAAATAAATAAATAAAATCTAAAAAAAAAAAAGATCTATTTATTTATTTGAGAGCGAGAAAGAGCACGAGCAGGGGAAGGGGTGAGGGAGAGGGAGAGAATCCTCAAGCAGATTCCCTGCAGAGCATAGAGCCTGACTCATGGCTCAATCCCAGGACCCTGAGATCATGACCTGGGCCGAAATCAAGAGTTGGATGCTGAACCAACTGAGCCACTCAGTGGCCCCTGAAATCTCATTCCTAATGCAAATTTTTTTCTTTGAAGATTTTACTTTCACCCTCTTTTGCCCTAAATCAGATTTCATTCTGCCTTCTTTCTTCATAAAACGTGGAAAGATTTTACTTCTTCTCCCATGTAAATGTGGTCTGATAAATGAATAATTTTTAAAAAGTGACTTTAGTTATCTTTCCAGGACAAGTTAAATACAGAAGTGGTTTTAATTACTTGTTTTAAACTGAATCATGGGATATTATGAAATATCTGTTCTATTAGTCATTTTCTAAAACAGCAAATGGGTTTCATTGCTGCCATTTTTAGTTTGTAGTGGGGGAAGTTATGCTAGTAATTTATTTTAAATGACTAAAAGGAGCCTCATGTCCAGAAAGAAGTTATAACAACTAACAGAAATACTTCCACTGCCTATACACCGCTGCCTTAATCATGGGAAATGATCTCCAGCCATTTTTGTCTTAATGAAGGAAGAAAAAAACCCACAAGATTTCCAGAATTAACCTTCTTCACCTACATTTTTGGGAAATGTCTTTCCCCCTTACACAATATGGATTCACTTGACTGAATTTATCATTAAAGAGTAGGAGGCTAGGGGGCGCCTGGGTGGCGCAGTGGGTTAAGCCTCTGCCTTCAGCTCAGGTCATGATCTCAGGGTCCTGGGATCGAGTCCCACATCAGGCTCTCTGCTCAGCAGGGAGCCTGCTTCCCTCTCTCTCTCTGCCTCTCTCTCTGTCTGCCTCTCTGCCTACCTGTGATCTCTGTTAAATAAATAAATAAAATCTAAAAAAAAAAAGAATAGTAGGCTAGAATGTAAGCATAGTTACTAGCTTAAACTTGAATCCCTTGTTATGCATTCTTTTCATTCATACTAGGCATATCTAATGTAACTAGCCAAAAACTAAAAGTCTATGACCTATATACCCCTTAATTCATTCTTTGTCTTTTTCTACCATGTACACCATGTTTTATATAACATGAAGTTTCTCCTAGATCCTCTCCCCAAAGCTGTCTTCTTATAGCTATTAATTATGTTGCAGATGAAAAACAATTCCTAAAATAGACTTTTCATTTTTGCTAAAATTTGTTTTTAACGTATGGGACTACATTGGAATTATTCCTAAAACAATAATTCACAAAATGTATCTTTTTATACCCAGAAAATTTCTGGGAATGTTTAGAAACATTTCCCCCTAAGTAAAATGAATTTTGGTTGTATCGTGAGGTTTGGTCAAGAAATA